TTGTTTGGAATTACAGAAGCTCTTTTCTCCCCCCTTCTTTTCACTTCTCTACAGATAACATATGATAAGCAAGGATCAAAAAAGAGTTCATCAGTCCCTACCAAATGTAAACCTAAATATGTACACTTAACCAAGCACTGTGGGGGTTTTTATTCCACTATCTGTATTTTTTTATTTTCTGTAAGTTATATTTGTTTCTTGCTCAAATATGCATGTCCCTGCTTCACACTTTCCCTTCATCATAATGGTTTCTTTTCCTTCTTTTATCTTTTAAACAAACCAATTTTACAATTTCAGAATATTCTACTGTCTCTAGTTCTTTGGGTCTTGATTCCCTATTTGTTGTGAATGTTGATTCCGCCCCCCCCCCCCCCCCCCCCCCCCACGGAAGCTCCTTCTTTTTTGCTATTTATGCCATTTTATTGTGAGTTGATCAATATTATGGATTACTGATTTATTAACATGGGGGTTTTCTTTGTCCTGAGCTGTGAGACAATCCCTCAGAGTAGTTTTGCATACTCCAGCAATAGTGTGTGGAGTTTGTCCAGTCTGTGAAACTGAAAACTGAAGAAAACCTCATTTAAAATGGAGTGGGCAGGCCAGAAGGGAAGTTCTCGTGCCCTACCACTGGTCAACTGCAGACCCAAGCATGAAGAGCAGTATTGTGCTTTCGCTACAGGAAGAAACCTACTTTATGATTCCAGCAGCAGAAAGGAAGAATTTCTCCTTGGCCAGCAATAAGCTCAGCCAATAATACCACAACTCACCCAATGAGAAACTGTTACCACCCTAAACTCTTGCTTTCCTCCAACAAACTTTTGTTGAAAGCAGCCCCTCCCATTTTCCTCTTTTTCTCTATAATGTTCCTTTCCTTTGATCTTGGAACTTGCTTATGTTTTGCCATAGTTTGCATGTCCCAAATTGCAATTCCTCTGCTATTGCTGAATAAACTGATTTTGCTAGTAAAATAACTGGCTTTTTTACTTTTAAGGTCAACAAGTCTAACACCACTTTTATGTCAATTTCTAGATATCATGTGAAGATACACTTGAATCTCTACCCCATCTGTGCTGCAGGCTTGGATTTCAGTTCCACATGAGTTGACTTTTTCCCACTCTCAGAGCTCTGGAAAATCAGTGTATCAATCCCCTGCCCCCTTACCTCCTCCCTGACCTCTACCTCATTCTAAAGCATCTAAACTACCCTTGGGCAAGTTCAATAGTATTTCTGAAGCACATTTCTTTACCTACTTACCTTAAAAAGTTTACAAATCAATAAAGAATACAGGGTGAAAAAACATAAAGAACACAGGAGTGAGATTCTGTCAATTTGTAAGAGTCATATAAGTTGATTCCCCTTCTTAGAAGGCATCCCACAGGCCCCTTTACTTTCTCATGCACTTCTATAAGTCACCTGTTCTGCCTAAAAGTTGAGGAACAGAATCTTAATCTTCTTCAAAGAATTTCTCAAACATTTTTCCCTCCCAGATTTTGACCAAATCAGAGACTAACTAATGTTGGCCATCTGATACTGTCTTATGAACACTTCAAAAAACATACTTTCCCAAATTGAAGCCACCCTCCTGTTAAAGTGTACTTTATCTGACTAGTTTAGAAAAGCCATACTGGTCATCTAAGCAGTAACCTAAAGAGGAAAGGTGTGGGAAGTAGAAAGTCTGAAAGGCACTGTCACTCAACTGCTAATTAATACAGGCCTTATGGTTAGCCCCAAGTGCAGCCCCTGTGATATCTCTTTTTATCTCTTTGAAGTTCAATGCAGCTCTACACATATTCTAATAGCTGACTAGAATGGAAGTGGGCAACCTATCTCTGGTGGCTCACAGCCTCATTAAGTAACAGCACAACTGACATCACACATAGCCCAGAGCCTCTCAACAACTACCAACTACTGCTCTAGCCCTTGAGAAGCTCCTGAAAGCTGCAGCTCCCAGAAAGCAGAGGGAACACAGAAATTAAGGAAGCACAGTCACTTCTTTCTTTTCACTATACTGATAAACAGATAATGAGAATCTAGATCTTAATTCCACGCCAAGAGATTCTTCCACCATTCACATGTTCTCCTGTACCCCATCCAACATTCTAAGCCTTGCCACTGATTCAAAATCCCTGCAAAAGCTATAGTTTGCAAATAATCTTGACTTGTTTCCCCTAGAACCTCGTACCAACAACTCATGTTAAGTTGCTGCTCAATGGCAAAGTCTAAACCTTCTCTCCCTGTAGCAGTGACATTTTCCTTGGGCCTCACAGAGGATCACGAACCACGGGACCTTACCTGATCTGATTATGTCATTGCTAGGGTACCACCTGTCAGGTGATGCCTCCTGAGTATTACTGGGGATGCATCCATTTCTCCAGCAGGCTGCTTCTGGAGCACCTAGGTTAAGTCACTTATTTTTTTTTTTTCAACGTTTATTTATTTTTGGGACAGAGAAAGACAGAGCATGAACGGGGAAGGGGCAGAGAGAGAGGGAGACACAGAATCGGAAACAGACTCCAGGCTCTGAGCCATCAGCCCAGAGCCTGACGCGGGGCTCGAACTCACGGACCGTGAGATCGTGACCTGGCTGAAGTCGGACGCTTAACCGACTGCGCCACCCAGGCGCCCCGGTTAAGTCACTTATTTAATTTACTTTTTTTCTTTTTTAATGGAAAAAAAAAACCTTTTGGGAAGAGATATGTCTATCAATCAAATTCAAATAGAAACACTGTCCTATTCTCTCTACTACCTTAACTCTACAGTCGTCTGAATTTGGGCAGTGTTTTGATGACAAATGACTAGTCTATGTAGGGAAACTTCAACAGTGTTTTTGAAATGAAAAAAAAATATGCTATAATTTCTTTGTAAAGATATGAAAAGAATACTTTCCAACTCAATATAAACTTGCATTTTACAACCCTCCTACTGTAACCGATAGCTTCTGCTGCTCTGTTCCAATTTCCAGATCAATTCATCTTGATTTGCCACTTCCTCTCTGCACACCTGGATAAAATGCAAACTCTATCCTGCCTTAGGCCCAAATGATTTTGCCCCCCATTTAAACGATTATCTTTCTAAATTTAAAACCGACCAGGCTAATCTCCTTCCTGTCCATGAAACAATTTTTATTTTCTGCCACCATACCTTTGGTTCATTCCATTCCCTCAATCTGAAATGCCCTCCCCTAAAACCTTACTAATCAGAACACTAGTCATTCTTTATGAAAAAGTTCAACTTCTAACTCTCCATGAAGTCACAGCTGAAAATGATCATCCCCCCTACCAATCACTTACAGATATGTTTCTCTCTGACCAAAGAATAAGCTCCTAAAGGGAAAAAGAACTATGTCTTTACTTCTTTGCACCCTCACAGTGCCCAGTAAACTACACATAACTGTTATTTAAACATATTTACTCAATTAATACATGCATACTTTCACATCTGCAGAATAACATCACACCAGACACAAATAATACTAACTGTTTTTACCAAGGCAAATAAAAACAGGTTTAAAATGTCATTTTGATTTGACTCAGGTATACAGAGAAAACTACTCAAAACCTAGGAGTAAGGAATCACCAAACTCACCCACCAAGTCAGAGAACTATGCAGACATTTGATACTATCTCTACATAGTAAAGTAAAAATACTTTTTCTGAAAGAAAAATAAAAAAACACCTCTAATCAGCACAAAATCACAATGTGACATGCAAAGGCTATGCCAAGGAGTTTTAAATAGTCTTGGGTAAATCAGTATACCCTGTCTCAGAAATAATGAATAGATGAGTAAGTGCCCTAAAACTCAAGCCCAGAATAGTTAGGTATTTACGCTGAATGATAAATAACAAATTGGGGCACTATAATAAAAGCAGAATGATTTTTGGGGCACCTGGGTGGCTCAGTCAGTTAAGCATCCAACTTCAACTCAGGTCATGATCTCACAATTCATGAGTTCTGGTCCCATGAGCTGTCAGCACAGAGCCTGGAGCCTCCTTCAGATTCTGTGTCTGTCCCTCCCCTGCTCATGCTCTGTCTCTCAAAAATAAATAAACATTAAAAAAATTTTTTTTAAAGCAGAATGATTTTTAAAAAATAACCTAGCTGTTTTATTCTTCATCAAGAGTCCTCAACTATTGCTATATCTAATAAATATGCACCATTTGGTAAAAGAAATTATTACATGGTTGCATATACACTGCATTCTTGCTATCCCCAAATATTATGGGGGTCCATTACCTAATCTTATCTAACATGTAAGTCAAAAATGCAGGTATTATTTGATTTTTTCAACTGAACAACAGCTACATTAGGTCAGATACCTTGACTACCCAAAACAAAAATCAGTGTCAGACAGTGATAGAATTGAGGAAAGTCATGACTATACTTCTAAATCTCAACTTCAAATATGGTATGATGATGATAATGATTACAATAAACAATAACATTAGCAAACACTTTTATAACACTCGTTACATGCCAAACGTGGCTCTGAGATCTTTACATTCGTCAATTTACTTAAAACCCCCAAAAGAATTCTGAGACATGTATACTATCTTATTTACAACATGTATAGTCCCATTTTATAGATGAAAACACTGAGGCACAAGCAGATTAGATAACTTACTCAAGGTCATACATCTCATAAGTTACAAGGCCAGGATTCAAACTTCGGAAGTCTAGCTCCACACCCAGGCTCCTAACCAAATGCAATATCCCTTTCTTAGCTAATTCCCAAGACAACTCATATCCCCTTTATCATGTACTGATTGAGTACTTCTCCACCTTCATTACTGCCTTCCTACCTTTTTGAAACTTGTTCACTTTATTCATCAAAACAATCTTTCTAAGATATAAAAGTTAAAAATGCAAGATGTGATTCTTGTAGTTTGTTCTGGGTAATTTCAGATCAGTTCTTCGTTGAAGAAATCTCAGCTTTTAACATCTGAAATCTCTGTAGCACTTCATATCTGTTACCTAAAGGAAGAGGGTAGGGAAACACTTACTAGTATCTGGAGGTTTCTCTTTAGATATGCCAAATAAAAATTCATATTTGGCCTTGGCAACACTCTGGGAATGAGACGATGCATTGTTAACCCAAACAAATGTCTCTGCCTGCAAAATTAAAACAAAAAAAAAGTTATTAAAAACATATAAAAAATACATCATAAAACAAACCAACCACAAGAGAATAGTTAAGCAATAATGAAATATCTTCTTGACAGAATGCTACATGGCCATTAAAAATGAAACATAAAAAATATAATACAACAAAAATCAAAATACAAAATCATCACTGAAAGATTACAATTGTATAGAAAAATAAACATACATCTATAGGGGAATAAGAAATTTATGAAAACTTTGGCTTGATGGAGGGGGCAGAATTATGGTACAATACTTGTTTAAAAAAATTTTTTTAATGTTTATTTATTTTTGAGAGAGAGACAGAGTGCAAGCAGGGGAGGGGCAGAGAGAGAAGGAGACACAGAATCCAAACAGGCTCCCAGCTGTGAGCTGTCAACACAGAGCCCAATGCAGGGCTTGAACTCACAAACCCCAAGATCATGACCTGAGCCAAAGTTGTACACTTAACCAACCAGGCGCCCCTATTTTTTTAAATTGAAGTACAGTTGACATACAACATTATATTAGTCTCAGGTATACAACATAGTGATACAAAACTCTCACCCCGAAAATTATAGTTACCATCTGCTACCATACAAAGTTATTACAATATGATTGACTATATTCCCTATACTATACTATTCATCCCCATGACTTACTTTATAATTAAGTTTGTACCTTAAGTTTGTATAATTAAGTTTGTACCTCTTAATCCCTTTCACCTATTTAGCCCATCCTCCCATCCTCCAACCCCCTAGCAACCACCAGTTTGTTCTCTGCATTTATGTTCTCTGCATTTATCTCTATTCTGGGTATGTTTTTGTTTGTTCGCTGGTTTTGTTTCTTTAGATTCTACTTATAAGTGAAATCATATGGTATTGTTTTTTTCCATTTGACTTATTTCACTTAGCAAAATACCCTCTAGGTGCCCACCCATAGTATCATAAAAGGCAAGCTTTCAGTCTTTTTTTATGGCTGAGTTTTATTCCATTTATACATACATACATAAATATATAACACACACACACACACACACGTGTGTATATATGTGTGTACACACATATATATGTATATGTACACACACACATATATGTATACCACATCACACCAATTCATTCATCTGTGGATGGGCACTTGGGTTGCTTCTGTATCTTGCATATTAGAAAAACACTGCAATACACATAGGAGTGCATACATCTTTTCAAATTAATGTTTTCTTTTTTTCTTCCAGAAGTAGAATTACTGGATCATATGATACTTCTATTTTTAATTTTTTGAGGAATTTCCATACTATTTTCCACATAGCTGTACCAATTTACATTCCCACCAATAGTGCATGAGGGTTCCCTTTTCTCCACATCCTAACAACTGTTATTTCTTGTCTTTTTGATAATAGTCATTAGCCATTCTATGTGAGGTGATATCTCACTGTGATTTTAATTTACATTTCTCTGATGATTAGGGATGTTGACCATCTTTTCACATGTCTCTTGCCATCTGTATGTCTTCTTTGGAAAAATGTCTATTCAGGTCCTCTAATTTTTAATCAATTATTTATGGTTTTGTTTGGAGTTGAGTTGTAGGAGTTCTTTATATATTTTGGATGTTAACCCCTTATCAGATATATCATTTGCAAATGTCTTCTCACATTCAAGTATGTTTTTTGTTTTGTTTTGTTGATCGTTTCTTTTGCTCTGCAGGAGCTCTTTAGTCTGATGTAGTCTGATGTAGTCCAAGAGTTTGTTTTTGCTTTGTTTCCCTTGCCTGAAGAGACAGATCCAGAAAAATACTGCTAAGGGTGATGTCCAAGAGTTGACTGCCTATGTTTTCATTTGAAGTTTCCTGATTCCAGGTATACAATTTTGTCCTTATTATTTTTATTTTTTTTTTATTTTTATTTTAGAGAGAGAGAGAGAGGAGTACAAGCTAGGGAGGGAAACAGGGAGAGAGAATTTTAAACTCCACACTGAGCATGGAGCTTTGACACAGGCCTTGATCCCATGACCCTGGGATCATGACCTGAGCTGAAATCAAGAGTCAGATGCTCAACTGACTGAGCCACCCAGGCATCCCACATTTTGGTCTTTAATCTATTTTGAGTTTATTTTTGGTGCATGGTGTAAGAAAGTGGTCCGGTTTCACTTTTTTGCATGCTGCTGTCTAACTCTTTACTAAAGATACTGTCTTTTCCCAATGTATATTCTTGCCTTCTTTGTCATAGTTATTTACCATATAAGTATGGGGTTATTTCTTTTTTTTTTTTATTTTTTTAAATGTTTTTATTTATTTTTGAGACAGAGAGAGACAGAGCATGAGCAGGGGAGGGGTAGAGAGAGAGGGAGACACAGAATCTGAAGCAGGCTCCAGGCTCTGAGCTGTCAGCACAGAGCCCGACGCAGGGCTCGAACTCACACACCGCGAGATCATGACCTGAGTCGAAGTCGGATGCTCAACCGACTGAGCCACCCAGGCGCCCCTGTATGGGGTTATTTCTTGGCTATCTGTCCTGTTCAATTGATCTATGTGTCTATTTTTGTTGCCAGAACCATATTGTTTTGAGTACTATAGCTTTGCAGTATAGTTTGAAATGTGAGATTGTGATACTTACAACTTTGTGCTTCTTTCTCAAGAATACGTTGGCCATTCAGGGTCCTTTACAGTTCCATATAAATTTTACAACTGTTTGTTCTAGTTGTGGGAAAAATACTACTGTCATTTTGATAGGGATTGCACTGAATCTGTAGACTGTTTTGGATTAATATGTACATTTTAACATTAATTCTTCCAGTCCATAAACCTAGTATATCTTTCCACTTATTTGTGTCAGCTTCAAGTTCTTTCATCAATGTCTTACAGTTTTCAGAGTACAGGTCTTTCACCTTCTTGGTTAAATGTATTCCTAGGTATTTTACTCTTTTTGATACAGTTGTAAATGGGACTGTTTTCCTAATTTCTCTTTCTGCTAGTTCATTATTAGTATATAGAAATCTAACAGGTTTCTGTATATTAATTTTGTATTCTGCAACTTTACCAAATTCATTTATCAGTTCTAATAGTTTTTTAGTGGACGTTTTAATTTTTCTATATATAATATAATGTTATCTGCATATAGCAACAGTTTTATTTCTTCCTTACCAATGTGGATACCTTTTATTTCTTTCTCTTGACTAACTGCTGCAGCTAAGACTTCCAGCACTATGTTGAATAAAAGTGGCCAAGAGTTAACATCCTTGTCTTGTTCCTAGCCTTAGAGAAAAAGCTTTTAGCTTTTCACCATTGAGTATGATGTTATCTGTGGGTTGGCGGAATTTTTTAAATTAAACTTCTGTTACTTTTCTGCAATTAGCAAAATGTATTTTATTTTTAGATGTGTCATGTTCCAAATGATTATCAATACCTATAGCACACAGCAGGAATATTTGTGTATGGGTTCTACTAAAATATGCTAACATAAAGAAGTCTTTCCCCAAAAAGACCTTATTTTTTATGTAATCAGAAACACCATTCAGCCAAACAGGGGGCACAGAGTTTAAGTGCCACTCATCCCATTTATACTAACTCTCCTAAATTTAAGCATCTGTCCCAGTGTTCTCTGAAATTCCATAAAGTCCCCTATTTGAAAGATAAGCTACAAAGGTGACTGTGAAAGTGGGTTCACATCATGATTCTAAATTCCTATGGCCTTCCTCCTGGCTGCTTTAGGCAACTGCCAAAACTCAGGAGTGCCTCCCTCCCTTCTCTGGCCTAGTATTAATTTAAAATAAGTAACAAGGTAGAAATTGTAAAACACAGAGAAATCTAGCCTAGTTCAATCAGGGAGCCATTCTTCTGCCACTTTACCCTGAACCCAAAAATCAACCAAAATCCAGACACTGCCCTCCCTGGTTTCTACCCTCTAATTAAGAGATATCTTCTTTTCTCATGTCTGAGCAGCAAACATAACCGTTCACTGTAGGAGACAGAAGCACAGAGTTTTATCAGCAACCAAACAGCTACTTCATAGAGGGAAATTTTATTCCCCTCTATTCTATTATATTCCTTGGAGCAGAAATGATTGACAGTAGTGAGAAGGCCCATGATGGGGTTATGATTAACTCCATCACCCTACTGCAGACCAGTTCAACAGGTAGGCCTCTCTTTGTTCTTTCCTACCAATATCAAAGAGCTAGTTTGTACAAGTTTGAGGAAACAATTTATTTCTTAAAATAGCTCTACAATCACTTAATGTTCAACTGTGTAAAATTTATCTTTTTGGTAAAGGTGTATACTCCTCTTGGGAGTTATGTGCTTGATATTCACAAGCTGTTGATTAACCTTTTCCCCAGCAGAGAGGAAATATCAATGTTTTGATGTGTTTAGGGAGCTTCAGACTGGTAAAAGAGGAATGTGATGCCCTAGGTATCGTGGTAGAGCAGTTAAGGAAGGCTCTCTGAGTAACTAATACTTGTAGAGATGAGAAGGATGAGAGCCAGGGAAGAACAGACTCCCCCATCTAAGCAGAGAGAGGGTCATATAGCAGGAGGCCTTATAGCAGGAAAGGATTAGGCTACTCAAATGATTGAAAAGCCAACATGGCCACAGAATAGTGGGTAAATGGGAAACTTTAGAGACTGACCAAGAAAATAACACAGCAGAAAGTAAGGAGAGGAGACAGGAGCCAAACACACATGATGTGTAGGTCAAGGAAAGGTCTGATGAGAAGCCAGGGAAGGGTTTGAAATATATGGTGACTCACTAACCCATTTAAAAGATCATTCATTTAGGGGCGCCTGGGTGGCTCAGTTGGTTAAGTGTCCAACTCTTGAGTTGGGCTCAGGACATGATCTCACAGTTCGTGAGTATGAGACCTGTGTTGGGTTCCACACTGATAGTTTGGAGCCTGCTTAGAATTCTTGCTCTCTCTCTCTCTCTCTCTCTGCCCCTCCCTGTTCATGCTCTCTCTCTCTCTCTCTCTCTCTCTCTCTCTCTCAAAGTATGTAAAATTTTTT